TTGGGAACTGCTGGATACTCACCAAAAACATTAATAAAGATATCATGATATGATACAGCCGTTTTAGTAAACAAATGTAACTCCCTTTTATTATTTCTTAAGTAACATCATCAAAGATACTAACATCTTATTTTTAGACTATTTTTACGTTATCTGTCTGATTCACAGGCAGACCTAACGTCATAGAATGGTCTTCTTTCTTCTGATACATTCGTTGGAAATCTCGAGAACAGCATGGTCAAATGCCATTTGTTCTAATTGGTGTATTTAGGAAACCTAACAACTTCTGCTAATTTATTACCAACGTTTTTAAAACATAAGTTACTCATTTGTCGTCACTGACAATTTGTTGATTATTTAATTAATTATCCTTATATATAACTTAATTGATTAGCCGTTTGTTGCTCCTTTTTTATTAATATTAAGATTTTTTTTGATCCTTTAAAGATATTTTTTGATATATTAAATTTAAATATCATCATTTATTAAAAAACAACTTAGTATGAGATTAAGAAGTCCTAAGTCTTAATGAAGATTAAGAAGAAGGCAATTATTGTGAATTATTCAATAGAGCAATAGAGTAATAGTTACACTTCAAGATAAGTAAAAAACAAGCGAATAGGGCAGCTACTATACAGAGCTAAGAGATACTTGTATATTATATAAGAAAACCTACGTACGCAAACCGAGTAAAATCCAAATAAATAATTCATGTGTAAGGTTAATATTAACTGAACTAGAGAACCAGGAAAGATGAAACAAAAATGTAAATTCAATATATCAGGGGTATCGAATCAAATCTAGCTACATCCATCGTGCATTATTTGACAGAAAATAAAGAAACACTAATTTTTGATGGCAGTAGTTAAAATTTGAAAATTACTGTTAAAACATTTAAATAAAAGATACTCTTTATTATTGGTATTACATTCAGCATACTAGAAGAGCAAAACATGCGCCAAATTCATAAAAACTATTAGACGCAACCTGTTTAGATCCCGAACGTTGGACATGGCAATGCTTGATTCCAACTTCATAGGATTTGACCAAGTTTGATCCCAACCAAATCTCACCGGCCGGACTCAGTACAAAGTGTTAAAATACATATTTTAAACATCCCCGCTGTCCGGGGGGTTTCAGTATTGTTTCGGCTTCCTTTTTACAATCATACACGATGAAATATTGGCCTACTTTTACAATAATTAACTGCTGTGAAATTATATCCATGTACTGATTTGGACTCAGTATTGTCTCTATTTTACGAAATTCCTTTTCACTGTTTCCAAACACTCTATCTGCTGGAAGATAGGAGTAGTCAGTTACTGGAAACACCAGTTCTACTATTTTAATAGAAGGATGTTCCAGCACCCATTTGCAACAGATCGTAATTATGATGGAATTTTTATTCTGGTCTCAGCCGTCTGAGTTCAGTCTAATGGTAGTGATATTGGTGAGATACGTCTTTTTTAAGTGGTTATACACTGCAGATGCTATAGTATTAGAATTTTTTGATGAAGCGTTCTCTGTCCAAACGTTTGCGAAAACGTTGTTTTTATAAATGGCGTCTTTGAGGTTCCTTCCACAATGGTAAAATTAAAAAAAATTAATTGCCTGCTATAATAACACGATTGGTCTGGTACTTTAGGAAGATTAATGTTTTTTAACAATCATAAGAAATTATTTTCACACCCTCTTGTTCTGTCTTGAGCAGCGAATATAAATCTTTTACCCTTAAGCTATGAACTCTTTTTCTACTTTGAACTGATCTTTTTTCCTTTCATCTTTCTCTGTTTTTGTTTTTTCTAGTAGTTACAGACATGTAGAGCACATATCTGTATTACAAAGCAAATAGGCAGCTATTTGCTTTGTAATATCCAAATCATTGCGACTCAAATCCTAAATTGTATTCGGTGTTGAAAATATGTCAGAAGTAAGATTCTTTGCCGGTGCTGAATGTTCATTTTTGTATAGTTTGTACAGTTTTCGGATATTTAGATCACTTGGCAAATATTTATGGACTGAACTTTGGCTTCGACAATAATGTGGTTCTGAACACTGAAGTTTGCGAATAAATGCATGAACTGATACTTTTTCAGCCTTGAATAGGTAGGCTTTACGGTCTCCTGCTCTTTTTTCTTCTGGAAACTCTCCACTAACGAAAGGCTTTTGAACCAAATTTGAGACACGTCTTCTTTTCAAACAAACGCTGCTAAAAATTTCTTCTGGCGAACACGTATAGATTGTTTATCGACTTTTATACGATATTTCATGGTACACTGCTTGGTTGCTTTTAATGTAGTCTGATCTTCAGTGTCAAGTTTCTTGGTCGTTTTCTCTTAATCGGCAATGCTTGACAGCATTTTAATATGATTGCATCTTGGTCCGATTTGACAAGATTCTGATAAAAAGCCGTGTGAAACTGTTGTAATATTTTACCCGTCACTTTGGTTTTATCATCACAACGTGGTACTGTTGGCAAACTCTTTGCAGAATACCTAAAACAAAAGTATAAAAAAATAAAAAATACAAAATTGTTTTTAGCTCCACGATATCATAAGTCGCAAACTAAAAGAGCTCTACCAAACACCCATCGATATTGGTTATAGATTATACTAGTGATGGGGTTCTCAAATAACAAGAATCAACGAGTATTCGATTCCAGAAAGTCCTCGAGAATTCTCCAAGACTTAAGCCAAAGTATTCGAATATTGACTTGTTGAGGAAGCTGTCGCTATATTATTAAGGTATTTGGTCTGGGTACTCAAATGTCAGCAGTTTTTTTTAAACGAGTTTTCTGTTTACCAATATAAGCGGATAGTTAGTTTTATAAACAAATTTTTTTGGAGGTCAAATAATATATGTAATAAAATCAGGTAATTCATATTTGGGATATAAAAAACTGCATAACTGATACTAATATTTTTATTTTTAATAGGATTCCTCATTCAACAAAACGTGCTTATTCTCAAGATTATCAAAATGACTAATAACACCCTATAACATTTCTGTAAACATATTTCAGTGAGTGTGAGAGCCATTAACGAATTTAAACATTCTCAATTCTTAGGAGTTCTGTCAATCACTAGATTAACATTATCTAAATGCGACTTACGGTACTGCCCTAATAAACAAACAATTTTACCTCTCTTTTTTGGCCTTGTTAGCCTTCCAGTTTTGTGGCTGTGCAATTCGTTTTCGTGCCTGGTTTTTATATACAGGCATAGAAAAATGCCTGTTTATCGATCTTGATAAAAAATTATAGGTTTTACTTCAAATCACAGGAATTTTTGTTTAAAATGCGAAAAACTGACGACGTAACAACATAGAAATGATATATGCGGTCATAACAGTTTTGGTTCGAATGAAGTGATCCTATTGGCTGGCGTCCTAACATAGCGTGTAACTATGTTTGATACTAAGTTTATGTGGATGTAACCAAGTTTGTTTCCAAACAATTTTTTTAATCGAAATAACTTTGGATTAATTTAATCCTAAACTATTTATTTAGGTAATAGGCTGTGTCGAAATAAAAATATTGCCATCAAAATTTCAATTTCTAAAAATTGAGGACATAGCTGTTTTTGCTATACTATGCCCCTGATATGATGAAATTCAGATGTTAAAAAATAATTTTAAGACACAACATTAGAAATAAAGGCATACTGAAAAAATAAAGAGTTCTGGTAGTGGTAAATTTTAAGTGAACACGCATGTGGTGATACCTCATCTACAGAATTTACTCTATCTACCTACTGAATATATCTGAGATTACTTATAAAATAAATAGGAAAATACTCACAAAGCAATAAAAAATAGAGTTGATTTTTATCCCCTGGATACATCAAGTACTTGATTTACCGTGACAAACAGTATATTTTTCTGTTGAAGAAATATTAGGGTGAAACCAAATGTAGAAACAATATAAGTTAAAAGGAATATGTAAGAATAGGTATATTATGCCTTGAACGATATTAAATGTCATATAAATCAATGTAAAAGAGATCAATAAGGTCATATATTTACAATATATAAAATAGTTATATTACATTTTAGAGATGACATTCAATAAGCAATTAAATATGAAGTTTATTCAATTGAAACTCTTCTTTGGTTCAGAAAAAAAATGATTGTCAAATTAAACTACAAATAATTACCACCACAATTAAGCCGCATATCCCATTGTTTCCTAAGATAATGTATACCCTAAAAAAGATATGAAAATAGCAAGGCGATAAATCGAAACTATAGGGTAAATACTATAATATCCTTCATTTCTTTCACTGTAGATTTTCTTTCATTATTTTGACAACATGAGGCCGAGTATTATCGTGCAGAATAATGACACCACGTGAGAAATTCTCTAGATGTTTTTAGAGTATTTAAAGCGACCAATAGAGAGACAAATAGGGGTTTTTAATATATTTTAATAGATGGTGCCATAAGAAATGTAATTTATCAAAAAATATGTTGGAAAAAAATAAATATAGTTAAATAAATAAATATATTTAAATAAATAAATAAATAAATTAAACAATATAAATAGTAATATGAATCAAAAATATAAATAAATATAAGTTGAATATTACAACAAAGTAAATAAACATCTATTCTATACATAAAAATATATATAGAAGACATCTTTTGATTTTTCCAAATGTTACGCTTATGACAATGATTATTCTCGACAACTATGCCTATCTTCACAGTAGCCCTAATATTTCTTTGGTCAATTTTTGATAATGTCTAAATAATTAAAACTATCAAATATATTCAAAGAAAACATTAAATTACATAACGTTCTTCGTTCTCTCTACATAATATAAGTTAAATTATGTGTATAATGTTTTTAACATTTGTTAAATTGGAATGAATCCCCATTATTTCCCGAATGGAACGTCATCATTTAAAAAACACACAATTTAGTTAAATGTCAAGTCCACGTCAAAACCTTGTTGATTTTTAACAATTTTTAAGTCCAAACCGATCACAAACGCATGCTCATGAATTAATATAAGTTCCGATTTAATTTCAATTCAATTTAATTTTTGATAAGATGAGGAGAAGTTCTCGGTGTCGTTTATAAGTATTTTAAAAGTAAAATTTCGTTTTTAGTGAGTGTAAATATAAGTGATAACTTAAAGACGATGGCAATGTTATTAATGGTGCTGTCTATAGCTGGATCTATTCTCTTAACCCCCTTTTTAATGCTCTTAGTGTGTATTATATTTTTGGCATCTATTGGCAAGAGCTTAGGAGTACGACGACTGTATGTGAAAACATTATTGATGATTTTCGAGGTAAGTGATTGTTTAGAATCAAATTTTTCAGCATTATATAAGACACTTTTAATAAAAATATTCATCATTTATCACCAACAATTTTTACTTATACCTAGTTTATGTAAAGTAAATGTTATTAGGGTGTCCTCTCATGTCATCTTACAATCATTATCATTCCGTATGTTTATGGTCATCATCCACATTTAAGTCACACTGTATCTAAAATATGGATTGCAATATCTTTTAATAAGTTCAGTTATGATTTTCTTTCTAACTTCTACATTCCATTTCAAATATCTTTTTTGAGAAATCTGAAATGTTGCACTTCATTTGTTTGTGTTTGTTAACAATGTAATTGAAATCTATTAATAAATATTTCAGACAAAAACTTTATAATTCCAAATATTTTGTTTTAAATAATTTTATTGTTTTTTGTCCAAAAGTATTGTAAAATCTATATGTCCAAGTCCAAATAGCAAATTTTATTGAACAAGGGACCTGTTACCTGCTTTATATACAATAACATCTCAAGAATATCAACTGAACTTGCTGCATGTGTTAAGCCTTTGTGGGTTAACTACAGTAAACAAATTGTTAAATTAACAAAATATTAATGTATTTGTTACATATGCAATGCATTAAATTTAACAATTAATACAGAAGGACAATTTAACAAACAATATAAATATAGTGATGTAATTTATCATGTACCTACTTATTCACTTTTTGATAACTTACATATTTCTTCAGTGATACCCTTCTTCCTTAGATATCAGTATTCTGTTTATTGTTGAGATCTATTACTTATAATCAAATTAAATTTCAGTTTCCTGTTTTCTTTGTCATTGTTACTATTTTTTACATATGATCATTTAGTTTTCTGAATTTGCAATGCATTATTTGAATCTATTTCTTATCTAAATTGGAACACAAATAAGTATGTTTTGCCTTTTTTGAATTGTCATTTCATAACATTGTTGTTCTGTTAATTGTCTTATTGTTTTAAACTTAGGATTAATTGTTTTTTTCAACCAGACTGTAATTATTTTACAATAGTTTCACTTTAGTAGTTTCCTGTTTTACTTATAGATGTAAATATATGATAAATGTCAATGTAGGTTTCATCACAAAATTTGTTGTTTTTATTTCCTGTTTATATTTTTAAACTTTTAAATTATTCAATATGTTTAGATTTAATATCATAATTATCAATTAACACTTTTTTATTGTCTTCTGCTTTTCACTATCTAAATCCCATTTTTAACTATTTTTTTTTGTATATAATGAATCTTATGTAAAATTTAGTTTATCTTCATTTTTAAGAGCTTCAAAGTACTTTTTAAATTATAGGCTTCCTTTTTTGAGTAGCTGAGGGTGTCTTCATGTTTTTTTTATTGACATAAATGGGATAACCAGTAATATTTCCTTATCTCTACGGGGTGTGTTAAAAAGTACCTGAAATTTTCGTTTTTTGAAAAACTATTAAAAATTATTCATCTATGTTAATGTTGTCTCCTTCAAAGTAGTCCCCTTTAGATATTATGCACTTATGCCAGTGCTTCTGCCAATCCTTGGAATACTTTTCAAACTCAATATTTGGAATAGCGCTTAGTTCTATCAGCTATGTGCTTTTTTTCATGCATGCTTGTGAAACAACAGCTCTTTAAAGTTTTCTTTATTTTTGGTAATAAGAAAAAGGCACACGGAGCTATGTCTGGCGAATATGGAGGCTGGGGCATCATTATAGTATTATTTTTGGCCAAAAATTCACGAACTAGCAATAAAGTGTGAGCTGGTTCATTATCGCGATTCAAAAGCCATGAGTTGTTTTTCCACAAATCAAGCCTTTTTTTTCGGATTGCTTCACATAAACGGTATTGAACTTGTACTCTTTATTGACCATTTGAAAGAATGCCGTGAGCTTAACGTTCACATTTGACCACACTTGTGGAGCTTTTTTGGTCTTGGTGAACTAAAATGCTCCACTGGGACGATTGAACCTTAATTTCGATGTCATATCCATAAACCCATGTTTCGTCACCTATTATAACCCTTTTTTTGGGTTTTGGGGTATTATAACCCTCATACTTAAAACATTTGAAAAAATGTCATGGCATGAGCCAATAGATATGCCAAATTTATTAGTGACTTCTTCTAAGATTGTGACTCTTCGTTCATAACCATTTCTGTTACTTTATATATATATATATATATCGCACTAATAATACAATAGTGTCGCAACTCAAAATTCGTCGAAATTGACATAACATTATATTCACGCGTAAAATTTAATTCCCTATAAGTCAATAAAACTGTCGTTTTAATAGTGCAATAAATGAATAAGATATGGCGCCATAAGACGATATTCATGACTGACCGACTGCCGTCACCCCCTTCACAATATCGCGTGATCTTTAGTTGCAACCAACGGTGATCAGAAACGCACGTATTGCTTTGCTCATCATTTCGAGTTTCAACGTTATTGCTGAATCAGGTATGTAATTTTCATAGCTATATTTCAAGTTATTACATTCTTGTTGATTTGAACCTAACCATAATATTGTTGTTTTTCTAGTTATTACACTATTACTGATTTACACCAGCACTTTTTAAATTATTATTTTTACTAACGACACTATTCTTGGTTCAGTTCATTATTTTTGACATGCTACATTATTGTTGAATAATCACTTTAAACCATTTTTGTTGCTGTTAAGCCGTGTTAAGTGTTTGTTACACCTAATAGTAATAACTCATTTAATAAGTGTAGCATTGTTATTAAGAAAGCTTATCAACTACTTTATTTTATAAATTTAGAGTTAATACACTCTTTGTGACATTCTTCTGTCAAGTACCTATATACTTAATCTAATAATATTAATTGATTTATTTGTAGGTTTAATACCTATGAGTCGTGGGCGATTACTTGTTGCTATGGCAACAAATGCTGAGGACTGCGAGCAGGAAATCTCTTCACCGTCATTATTGTCACTGGAGAGTAGAAATAATGAACCTGATGTCCAAATAGAAAACAGTGACGTTGCGAAAGTACGATCACGTTCTATACCTTCACCATTTACGAGTGATCAAGTACTTTAAGAAATTGACGTAAACAGTTTCTTTAGTAAGGTTAGTAATGTTAAACCTATTATAGAATCCAACCACGGGCAATATTACATTTCACCGATCCACTCAGACCAGGGCGACTTTGATTCCGATGATTCCGACCGAGATCCGCATTTCGTTCCTGGTGTGCAAAGTAAAACCTATAGTTTGCTTCAAGGCCTAACAATAACATCATTAAGTAGCTCTTCTTCAAGAAGCTCTTCATCGAGTAGCTCTTCTACTAGTAGCTGTTCATCAAGTAGCTCGGATGATAGAGTTGTTCATAACTTAAGTCCTTTTGCTGGAACTAGTGGGTTAACTAATGAATTAAAATTTTCCTTGGAAGACCAAAACAATAATACTAAGGGCAAAAAGAGGATACGTAATATTAAAACCTGGAAACACAGTGTAGCCAAACGACTTCGCAATACTGGCAAAGCGTATGAATCAGTGAACAAAAAACAAGTGCCTGCAAGGAAAATGGGTCCGACTTGTGGCAAAAAATGCAGGTTAAACTGTCGTTCACGAATAAACGAGACATCAAGACAGGATATTTTTAATAAGTATTGGAATTTGGGAGATTTACAAAAACAAAGAGAATTCATTATTAGACATAGTATAGAAATTAAACCAAAATACAGATATTCTTCAATAAAAAATGTTCGCAAACTAAATACTGGATTTAATTTTACATTAAACAACGATCTCATTAGAGTTTGCAAAACAATGTTTAAAAATACTCTTGCTATAAACGATCGACCCATTGCTACAGCACTATCCAAAAAAATAGAGTGTGGTTTAATACAAGATGAATTACGTGGAAAACATGGCAAACAACGTACTGTGGAACCGGAGATCTGTGAAGGTGTCAAACATTTTATAAATGCTATACCACGCGTCGAATCACATTACCTTAGAGCCCAGACGTCACGGGAATATATCCAGGGTGACAAGTCTTTAGCTGATTTATATCGAGACTACAAAGATAAATGTACAGAAGGAAGCTTATCATTTGCGTCAGCATCTACCTTTAACCGCATTTTTAATAAAAACTTTTTATTAACATTTTAACATTTCCTTCCACACACCAAAAAAAGATCAGTGTGATCTTTGCGAAAATTTGAAAAATTCTGATGAAGATGGAAAAAAGAATATTATTGTGGCGTACGAAAACCATTTGAAAGAAAAAGAACTGTCCAGAAAAGAGAAAGAAAAAGACAAAAATGCTAACATAGATTCAACAATAGTCGCTGTATATGACTTACAAGCTGTGATGCCAGTACCAAAAGGCCAAGTTTCATTATTTTTTTTACAAAAGTAGAATTAACTGTTTCAATTTTACTGTGAGTGACTTGTTCGCTAAAAATGTCGAATGCTATTTTTGGGACGAAACGGAGGGAAAACGTGGTGCGAATGAGATTGGGAGTTGTACTCTGAAATATATAGAAAAAATTTTACAGGCTAATCCTGGTAAAGAACTGGATTTTATATTTTATTCTGATAATTGTTGCGGACAACAAAAAACTGAAAACGACGAACTGAAAACCAGACTTCGTTATTTGCTAATGGTTTGACACGAGAGTACACAAACAAGATACCTATAACTGAAAATAAGAAAAGGGACTTTAAGGAATTGCTTGACAAAAATGTAATACCCAGAAGTTACCGTGAAACTTACTATAAGGATTTGATCGATTAAAAATTAAAATTGTATTTAATTGTAATCAGTAATAATTGATTTTGAGACTGATTGAAACTCTGAGTTTTGAGACTGAGTTTAAATAATTTGTTTTTCTTTTAAATTAAATAGGTCCTTTTAATTAATCACGAATTACTTAAATATGACTATATTTTGTGTTCTTTTTTCAGAAGGTTTATTTTGTTAATTATATAGATTAAGTACAAAATGTTCA